TCACCGCCGTTCAATGCGCGGATACTATACTAGTTTATTATTATAAATTCGTGCATTGGACCAAAACTAATTGTTATAAAAGTTAATACAGGTCAACTAGAAAACGAAGGAAGTAATTAACGAGTACCAATAACTAACAGTCTAACACAGCCTTACAACAAGGTCATATGTCTAACACAAGAAGTTAACCACACAACTCGTAAAAATATTGGGAGTGTGTAAGATGGAGCCAAACCCAGATCGTCTCCCACTTTCATCGTCGTCTTCTTTTAAATCCTCTTCTCTTCCCCCGACATTTCCTCTTACCTCGACCTCTACACTATCCCCAGTCATTCCTGTACTCTCTCTTTCTCTCTCCTCTTTTTATAAACCCTAACTTTTCCAATTTTCAATTTCCTAACCTTAGTTTGTTTTCTTTGTTTTTGTTGCAGTTTGGTTTTCATGGGATTCAATTCACGACACAGAAAGAATCGAATTGAGGGAGTTTTTCGATGGGAGTTCATTCACAAGAACCCCTAAAATCTACAAGGAATACAGGGATTTCATCATTTGTAAGTATAGAGAAGACCCTTCTAGAAGGCTCACATTTACCGAGGTTCGTAAATCATTAGTGGGTGATGTTTGTATTCTTAATAAGGTGTTTAATTTCTTGGATAAATGGGGTTTGATTAATTTTGGTGCTCCGCCGCCACCGCCGCCGCCGTCGGCGGTGGTGGAAGGGGTGGATGAGGAGGTGAAGGTGAGGGTTGAAGAGGGACCCCCAATTGGGGTTCGGGTTGTCGGTACCCCGAATACTTTGAAACCATTGAAGGAACCGCTGTCTGCGGCCGGTGCCGATGGTGGTGGTAGTGGTGGTGGTGGGGTTGATAATGGGTTTAAGTTGCCGCCATTGGCTTCGTATTCGGTTGTTTTCGAGGATTTGGAGGGAGAGAAAGGAGTGGTATGTGAGAATTGTAAGGAGAAGTGTGAATCCAAGTACTATGAATGCACTAAGGTAATCTATTCTTTATTGTTTTTATGATTATTTTCGATTGATTTCTATTGAGTTTGCTATATTTTACATTTAGTTTTGATTGTAAATGTTGCTATTAGTGATGGAAATTGGCTAGAGTTTTGGTTGATTGGTTATTTCTTAGGTTTGAGGAACATTCATACTATCAAGCTTCCGAAACTGTGGGCTTTAAATTTGAAAATTTGATTGTATATTGAAATTGTTAATGATTATCATTGAGCTATAGTTAGTTAAAACATAATATATTGGTTTTGTATGATATATGATTATATGTGGTTAGTGTTGGTGGAAATTTTGCCTAGAGATGAGACTTGCACATATGGTTTTATTGGTGGAATCTGGTAGTGTAATATTGTGACGTATTTATACATATATTCCGAATCATAGAAGCTCTATTTCAAGCTAATGAAGGTGGTGAATACATTATGAAGTCAATGTTGGGTCCTGTTCTATGACTGAGCCTGCTAGTTGGTTCATTCTGTTAATTCAAACAAATGTGTCATATCTTCTTAGGGCCAATTATGTGAGATTACTTTGGAGGGCTGATGTAATCAATTTACACTTCATTTCACTGAAGTTTGTTAGCCATGGTAGATTGAATTATTTGATGAGAAGAAGAGAAACAGTGTTAATGAGCCTTAGTCTGCTAAATAGGGGAGAGAGATAGAGTAACAAGAAGAAGAAAAAAGCTCCCAGCAGTTTATATTTGACAGTTGCCTCTATGGACTGCTGGGAGACCCTTCCTCCCACCATTGTTTAGCTCAATTTTTACTTTTTGAATTATAATTGATGTACTTCTGAACATATTATCATAGAATGTTATTTTTAGCAGGATAAATGTATACTGTGCTTGAAGTGCTTTGAGAAAGGTGAATATGGAGAAAACAAATCTTCAGATGATTTCAAGTTAAATGGCAGCATAGAAAGCAGTGTTGATCAAGGTGGTGTGTGGACTGAGTCAGAGACACTTCTTCTTTTGGAAGCCATCCTGAAGCATGGGGATGATTGGGAACTTGTTGCTCAAAATGTGAAGACCAAAACAAAACTTGAATGTATTTCACGGCTTATTGAGTTGCCATTTGGGGAGCTCATGCTGGGTTCCTCAGGAAAGTTGTCTGCCAGGGCTCTTGATGCTGGTCAAGAGCAGAACGATGCTGGTCAAGAGCAGAAGGCCTCTACTCTATACCAAGAAAATAGCAAGATGGAGCTTTGCCATCATGAGGATAATCACCATGAGAATAATCAACATCTGGAGAATAATAATCATAAGGAAGAGAATAATCATCAGCAGGAAATTGTTGTGAGAGAAAATACCGAGAAGATTGAGAACCTGGAGCCTCCTTTGAAGAAAAGTCGCATTGACTCTTCAGATCCTAGTAGATCTTTAATGGAGCAGGTTAGTGCTTTTTATTACAAAGGTTTCTACCAATTTTCTTGTTTGGTCTTACCATAATTTAACTCTACAGGCAGCTAAGAACAGTAAAATTTATGTTGCTCATGGGTTATGACAGTCAAACATATCCAATCTTACCCCTTGTTATTGCAAACTGTTTCTGTTACGCCTAAGCACTGGGTTGGAAATCCAAGGGAGTATCCAGCTACTTTAAGATACAAATTTGAATAGAAATTTTTGTCTTCGCTTTTAAACACATACCCACCTTTTCCACCTTCATTTATCACTAGAATTTTCATGCACTGCGCCTGACCTCCATTAATGGCATTGCCAAAGTTACTGATTAGCATAAATGAAATGGAGGAATGGGTTACTTGAGAGCTGTTCTTGACCTTGAGCTCTTCTTGTAGGCTCTAGTAGTTAGGGTGAAAATTCAGTTTCTATTTAGTTAGTGTATGTGCTTATGCGCTTATCCTCGAGCAAAACCCCTTACAGAGAACTGGCTTTCTTTAATTCAGAAGCTGGACAATGCTTTATTTGGTTCTTGGTAAATTCTTCTCTTGCATATATGCATATGCATTGACCATTGTCAAATTATCATACATGTTTTTGACATCATGAAACAAAGCTCAGAGACATTAAGCTGTATGGCAAATTCTATAGTTTTCTACTTTTCTGTAATTAAGGGGGCAAGTGCACGTGGCCTTATCAGGAATTATCAACAACTATAGAAAGATTAATAGCTCATGATTTCAAAAGCTTTGTGTTCCTAAACAAATAAGAAACATAGGTTGTAACCAAGGTTCTTGATTTATTCTCTTATAATTTAAGCTTTAAACTTCCCCTGTAGTGACTAGTAGCTCTGCTCATTTGTGGTGATTTTTTATATTTTTAAATCAGGTAGCTCTCATTTCTACCATGGTTGCTCCTCAAATAACAGCCACAGCTGCTGATGCTGCAGTTTCAGTTCTATGTGATGGAAACCCCTTGTTGAGGGAGATTTTCTATTCAGATGACCATATTTCCATAGACAAGCATAAATGCGGCAATCTTGATATGGAAATGGAAAGGTATCTAGTTCCTTTCTTGACAGACTCAGCATTATAATGCTCTTTGATTATTTATCAATGCTTTCTTACTGAAACTTTCAGGGCTTTTCAATCTGAAGATCAAGAAATGGACACTTCTCATCCTTCAGGTATTTTACACACTATTTTATGACTGAATCACCATATTGTATATGAAAAGGGAGCTTGCCAATTGCCACGTTGATATAAACAAAAAAAATAAATTCAGGTGGCATATTGGTAAATACACAGCTAAATATACATAATTATTACCAAAAGTGAGGGAAAGGGTTTGCATCTCACTTTTTCGTTACCATCTATTTTCTCCAGTTGTACTTTTCTCTTTTCTCCTGATTTTTAGTAACTCGCTAAAAGCAACACCTAATGACTCCACATCCCTTGTTTGGTTTGTAACACTTTCTGTCCAGCTACTCTCTCAGATGAAGAGGATGTTGTTTGCAAGTTTCCCTTCCTACTTTTTTAGTTTCTTTTTTGTTCCACCCTCAGTATTTTCCACCACCAAAAATAATATTGGTATGATTTTGCAGAGTATTGCAACCTTGTAATTTCAGTCCATTATATGACCTTTGACTAGTCGGTACCCCTGACCATATTTAGAACGGGTGTTTATGTACCATATTAGGTGTGTAGGATAATGGTCCAAGTATTGGGGTTTGTTTGCTTTGTGAGATGTACTTATCCTATACTCAATGTTTTCTTTGAATATCTGTTATCTCAGTCAATCAAATGCATTTTGTAGAGATTGATAAATCATTGCAAATGAGAGATTCTATCCCTATAGCACTACGGATGAGAGCAGCAGTTGCTACAGCACTTGGAGCAGCAGCTGCTCATGCCAAAATATTGGCTGACCAGGAAGAGAGGGAGATTGAACATATGATGGCCTTCATTATTGAGGCCCAGGTAGAAACTTCATCACAATTTCCTCTTCAGCTCTTTGAACTTGTTTTGATGAACAATGAACTTGAAAAATTACTCACCCCTTTCTCATTTTTTGCTTCTTTTATGCCTATATTTTTTTGTGAATGCTGAGCAGTTAAAGAAATTGCAATGCAAAGTGAAGTGCATGGAAGATCTAGAAGACATGATGGAGAAGGAACATGTACTATTAGAGGAGTCAAAAGATGATATAATTGAACAGAGAGTGGCCACTTTGCGAAAATCTTTTTATGCCGGAATATCCCGTCCAAGGGATCATAATGTGTAAAAACTGCAGTCAAGTAGTCTAAAACACCTGTGATTCTGGTAATGCTTCTGCTTTGAAGAAAATGATTCAAAGCTTTGGCTGCTTCCAGGAATGCAAAGCTCCCGTGACTGCCTCTTCTTTGTAATGCCATGGGAGGTAGCAATTTGATCTCCTCGGTGTTGTATCCATATAATTTTCCATTTAGAATTGTCGGACAAAGTTTAGTTACAATGTAATATGTGGGCTTCAAAATGCAAACAGATCTTGTAAAGATTAAAATTATGTTGCTTTTGAATGTTCATTTTACTTCACATAATCACATAACCAAGACCAAAAACTGTAGCGATTATTGTTTAAAAATTCACAATGAGTTTCTAACAAAATTGTCACCCCTAAATTTAATGATCACATGGTATGAAAATACAGTATCAGTCTTATCATGCAAAATACTTTGCTGTTAATTACTGCACCTTGACGCCTCATTGGGTTTACCAAACAAGAAGCCTTTAGCTTTCTGTTGGAGTCCCATGGGGGACTTGACCGGCTTTTTTTTCACCGTTAGCACCGTAGCATGCTTTCTCCTATCTGCTCCCGTATCAAATCAACGGTCCGCTGATCAACAGCTCTACCACTATTATCAGTGACCCAATATATATGTTTTACTTCCGCATCAACAGTAGAAATTTGTGCTCTCTTAATCCGACAGCCTATATCTCTAAGTACAGTCATAATTTTAGACAATTGTATCAGCTGGCCGTCGAAGCAAAATTCTACCTCTACCCCCTGCAGAATGAGTAGCCATTTTAGATTCTTACAAGCTTAACATCATAACTTCCTAGTTGAGAAAATGAGAAAGAAGCATTGAACAGTTTGCCGTAGCAATTAGCATGGAGAATTGTCAAATCCAATTTCAGAAAGTGCCAAAATGTTAGTCTATATGCAATCTTGAGGTCACCTCTGAGTCTGGGCTGTTAATGGTTTGCTCAAGAGATTCCTACAGTTCATCACGTTCCTCAGTTCTGCTGATTGAGCACCCATCGACGTGCCTAATGTAGTATTCCTGCATTTGTTCGAATATAAGTATCTTATTCACCTTGCAAGATTGTTTTCCACTAATTATAAGTAATTCTCATAGCCTCATGAGCAAGAACAAAGTTACACCATATGAGAGAAAATGAAAAATCAGTGATCATGACACAGCTGCACTAGGATATTATAACTATTCAGTTACATAAAAACAAGCCTTATGATTGACATCATGAACTTGAAATTGCCAAAATTGAAACACAAGACTAGTACAATTATATCGTACGTACCTAAAAGTTTTATCTTTCCTACTGATACAGATCCATGAAACACTACATGTTGCATAACCATGAGAGTACTTATTGTATCAAGCAAGAAATTTACTCTGTTGTCAGACCGTATATCTATGCGTGTATAGTCTCTGTAACTGCAGTTTGATGCAGTGTCACGTGTCCTTGAACTCCTGTCTTCAACATTCCAGTCCTCCGGAGACCTGAACTTGACTGATGGTTTAATAATATGACCCAAATCTTTCTTGATCCCGGATAACTTTTGACTGTCACTGATTTTAGATCCTGTAGATTCATCTACAACATTGACCATTGCTGAAGCATGATGCTTATGAGTCCACAAGTCAGCATTAACAATACGAACTCCATGGTGTGCTAAATACTCAGACAACTCATACAGTAACCCTGGCCTGTCAATGCCACTCAACAGAATCATAGTATACTCTTGATCTGGCAACACTTCAACTGTCTCATTTGCGGAATTGAACAAACATCTTTTAGCTGCAAGAGCCTGTAACATTAATGTAAATGCTATATCAGAAAGGGCTTGTCAGAGAATGAGCTTATAACTAGTTGAAATGGCAAAAGGTCAGGTCATCATTATATTAGTCCTGAGAGCAAATTTGTAGCAAAAATTGAATGTTTAGAATCTTGCCTGGCATAATTGATCAATAAGTCCTTCATCTTGAATTTTCTGCCCATACTCATCCGTGACATGAAATACTGGTAAACCAAAGTATTCAGAAGGTCATCATAAACCCTGAAAATTGATTGCTAGTTAAACAAGCTAGGTATTTACTCACCATCCATGAACCATCCATCCTCGCCTGAAACATAAGCTTTAGTCAATATGAGACTAAAATTGGTGATAGTTTGGATTGTTTCGAAAAGAATCTCATGCCTCCTTGCACTGCTAACCTGAATATGAACGAAACTTCAAACTTTCAGATACATCAAACTGTTAGTCCTCTATAATATAATACCCAAACATGTATCAAAACTACAATAGGTGATATTCCTTGGCCTACAAACATATTCTTGATCAACAACCAAAATAGCAAAAGGCCGAACTATTATGCACCCTTTTGGGACAATGGGACATATTCCGCAGTTCCAATTTAGGAGATGTTGAGCTAGTTCTCTAAAGATACATAATAATCCATTTAAAGATAAAACAAGACTGGAAATATAAGGATATATCTACCTGTATTATAGTGGCACTGTCAGACTTATCATTGTCAATTATTACCCTGCAATGAAACCAAAAGCCAATCATGTGAGAATATCATAAACAATTGTAGGTTAAGTAGGAAAGACGAAACCCGAAAATATATTCTATTTTATACAAATGATTCTCAGGAAGACAACATAAGGCCAACAAATCTATAATTTTTTTAAAATACGAATGGGAATCCTAAAAGATCAAATTCCCAAAACATATCAAACATATTTCTAATCAAAGAGAAGGATGCGAAATTCCACGAAAATAAAGCAATAAACAAAAGGAGAAGATTAGTATTGAAGAGTAGCATATGCACACCATTTGTTCTGATCTTGAGATGTTACCATTTTGTGCAAAGTTTATAACCAGAAATGGGAATTCAAGAAAACCAACTTCAAATCGTTTTTGTGCAAGAAAATAAACTACCTTGAGGAATGTTTTTAGTACTTATAACATTGCCAATATTTCTGACTACTTCATGAGTTCCACAGCTTTACGCGAACTCGAAAAATATTGAAAATGAAATGCAGGCATTTGTTGCTGTGAAGATATGATATAATAACTCAAGTCAAATAGATAATTTAAATAAACAAAAATTAGTATGGTATAAACCATTAAAAAAAATTCAATAATAAAAAAGAAAGAAGAGAAAAATCATTACCTTAAATATTAAAGTTTAGGACAGTTCTGATAATCCCCATGAAAGTTGTAAAGGGGCACACACACAACAACCAAGAAGCCATTAAAAAAAATAATAATAAATCCCAAAATAATCAAATCATAATCTAAAAAATTGGATTTAAATGAGAATTAAATGCAACCCTCTTAATCCTTCTTTTTTTTTTTCCGAAAATGAAAACATTCCTCAACAATCCCCCTATTTCCACAATTCACAAAACATACTTACAATATATATAAATCAAAAACAAAAATAAAATGCAAACAAACAACAAAGAAAGCAATATGAATTCATTGCTCTCTTGAATTGTCATCATTAGAATGCGACTGCAAGTGCTGCTGTTGATGCTGGTGCTGATGCGAGTGCACGGTTTCAGCAGCAGCAGCACCTGAATTATCATTTTGTTCATGATCCTGCGCTTGGTGATGATGTTGCTGTTGTTGGTGCTGCTGCTGCTGCTGATAAATTTGTCCAATAACACCACCATGCCCATCTTGTGAAAGCCCGAGTTGAAGGCCGGAAACCTGAGTTCCCCGAGCCAAAATCGGAGTAAAACTCAGTAATCCCATATTAGCAGTTGGCATTCCAACTCCTTGCAATTGAAAATTCGTGACATAACCAGAATTTTGACTGACTAAATTCGAAGCAGCAGTAGCAGAACAACCATCAAAATTCTGTGCATACCCACTTCCAATAGACGGCCAAATTGATTGAGATCTTCCCAACCCATCACCAAAATTCGCCCAATTCACCCGATTCCCCACCTCAGCACCAGCCCTCAATTCATTCATCTTGGCGTGCAATCCCAAAGATACAGACGCGCCCTGCGGCGACACAGACGATGCCCCAGAAGCCGAGGCGGTAAGAAATGAAGCAGGAATAGTTCCAGAGCCAGTAGCAGCAACGATCGCAGGCTCAGCCTGTTGAAGCAGCCATTGAATAGTTTCACCATCAGTTTTATGACCCAATTCTCTTGTTAGCTGAAAAACTCTTGCAGCACAAAGGGCAGGCATTCTGATTCTTCGGCTTCGGCCATCAACCTTTGTGTGTCTGTCTTTGTTAGAAGTTCTCTTTGGCGCTAACGGCTGTTGATGTTGTTGTTGTTGCGACTTCTTCTGAAGGTCGTCTTTGCTGTTGCTGCTGCTGGTGGTGGTTGCTGCTGCAGTGGAAGAAGAAATGTTTAATAGGTGATGATGTTGTAACTGATGTTTTTCTTCTGGGTTGTTTCTGTTGTCATCCATGTCTGCTTCTGTGGATATGTGTGAAAGAGGAGAGAGAAAGAGAGTGAGTGAGTGAGAGAAAGTATAAAAATGTAAATAATAAAAAATAAAAATGTATATATACAATTAATTTTGTTGTGGCTAATATGAAAGAAAGATGATTTTTGGGTTAATTTGGAAAAAGATAAGAGGGAGGACCCTTCTAGACTTTGGAAGGCCTACTTGACAAAACTTTGCCTTTGCTTCATTTATGGCTTTTTTAAATACAAAAACAAAATTTAAAAAATTATTTGATGTTTTAAGTTGGAGAAACAAATTTAAATAATGTTTTAGGTATGGAGGGCTAAAAAATGTGAACTATTTAATCATATTTAATTGGTTACATGGATTTGAGGGAGATTGTTTTCCTTTAACATGTTTGATGGAGATATATGATAAATATAAAAAGAATACTTTATTTAGAATATTATGACAAGTATAATAGGATTTAACACTAACTAATATATGTTAAATAGAATAAGATACATTTTACTTAGACAAAAACATTTTAAAGACAAATAAACAAATTTAGAGAATATCAATAAGTAAATCGATGGTGATAAAGATAAAGTAAGATATTCTAGTAAATCTACTCAATAAAATAGTTACACCATTACATAGTTATTTTTCCCTATATTATTCTAAAACAGTCCTCTAAACGACCTTTAAAATAAAATATGTTTATTGTAGAACTATTATCACCTTTTGATTTAAATTATGAAGTGTTTTTGCAAGTTTTAGTTCACTAGAAACTTTAATATTTGTCTATTAACTCTACATGGAACCAATAGCTTTAAAATTAACTTATGAGCAAAGATCTAACAAAAGTGTTTGTCATCTTTATTAGATCAAAATTTTAATTAAAAATAAAAATTCAAGCATCCCATTATCAAGATAGTGCTTAATATTATTTTAATATAACTCTCTTATTCAATTGGTTAAGATAAAGTATATGCTTTAAAGATAAGATATGTTTTTTTTTCCTCATTCATTTATGAAGTGACATAAAATTTAGAAATTTAATTCCAAGACATACTCTATATATTGTCCAATGATTTTTCTATTTTTATATGTGACTTATCTAGTTTGTCATAAAATAAATAAAGTGAAAGCGAATTAAATTAGTTAAACCAAATGAAAATATAAAATGAGTAGGGTTTAAGAAAATGGAGATAATATTAGTCAATTACCTTATAAATCAAATCTAAAATTACATATCATGCATTGGATAAAAAGTGTTATTTAACTAAACTAGACTAATTTTTTTTAACAAAAAATAATATTTATACACAAAATACTATCAAACTCATGTCATACAAGCATAAACCACTTTCAGCAACTTCGCCAAGCAAAACACTCATAAATGGTTATGTGATATAGTTTGTTTGTAATGACCTAATGATCTACTATAATAGTATAACCAATTTACCACCTAAGAGGGAGTAAGAAGTGAGTAATATCAAGTGGGGTTTAATCTTTTTGACATGATTGATTTTTTTTTTTTACTAAGCATGAACAATATTTAACAAGATACTCCAAAATTTCCATGATTGTAGCAGCAATGATTGGCTCTCCAATAAAAGACCCAACTGTCAATCGGAGGGACACACATGGAAAACCCTTATCATTTATTATTCTGTTTGGTGGAGTTCCACTCTTGGACCATCCTTCCCCACTCTCTCCACAAAAGCTTGAAATATTTTTTCCACATTTTTTATAAAAAGTTTTTTTTTTTTTTTTTTTTTGGTTTATTTAATTTTCTGATTCTCTCATATTTTAAATATTATTAGTGCTTTTTTCATTTGTTGATAAGAGCATTAACACTCGTGATATAATTTTAAGAAAATATGATAACTTTTACTACAATGGTGGTATAAAAGTATACTATGGTATGTCATGGTAAACATTTGCTTTGGTCCCCGTGTGACATAAACCAACCAGGTCACGCCATGTGGTCTGGTTATCATGTATCTTATATATATATATATTATATTCAATTGCATTTTATGAAAAAATTGTCATTGTTCATAATTTTTTCAAGACCTACACATAGACACTCATATTCAAGGGCGGATTCGGAAATTTTTTATAGCCCGGGCCGAAGTTATAAAGCATGTCAAATAATAAAGTCATAAAGGGATATGAGTTTAAGAAGCCCAGATCAAAAAAAATATTTTTACAAGATTTTTTATTATAAAACTTAAATAACTAACCAACTAAGCATACTATAAAACTTAAATATTTGTACAAGATTTTTTATTTATATAATATCAAAATCTGGGCATTAGGGGGGCCAAGGCCCGGGTAGGCCCCTCATTGGATCCGTCTATGCCGATATTGATATAGTTTTATATATTTTTTCGAATTCGCTTTTTACTACCTAAATTGCTTATTTTATTTAATTAACTTTACAAACATTAATTAGTTATTTTCAATAATAGAATAAAATATAATTATAATTAAATCAATTGTATAATTAATACATATATGAGAGAGAAAGTGTAGTGGTAAACTTTTTTTTTTTTTTTATACCATGAGTGGGGTGATTTTTGGAGAAAATATATTATATTGTGGTATAAATGATGTGGAAGAGTAAGAAAGTGGTAAAGAGGGAGGGATGGTATAAATTTTTATACCATGAGTGATGATGGTCTTAATAATTAGGTAAAATAGGGAATTTGAAGTACACATAAATATGAGTATTAATTTGATTAATTGTGTACTGTAATAGTGATGGATGAAAGATCTGTCACTATATATACTTGTAAGTAATAGTATGTGTCTTTTATAGTGGAAGAAATTAGCACATGCTGCTTCTGCTAACCATATTGACATGCTGACACCCAATAAATAACGTTGATGTTAACTTATTATGAGTACTCCATACGAGTAGCAATTAGGAATCTTTACTACTAGTATCTGTTAATCTGTAGGAGTTGGGTTATTATTAACTCTGTTTTAGGTATAATCGAGTTGGCTCATACTCATATTCATTTATTTTCATCGATTAATCCATATCGACTTGTTAATGTGGTTATTGTACGATTTGTTTATTTATTATGGGTTAAATGAGTTAGATTGTGTGATTTCTGTTGTAAACTAAGGTGTTTTTCAAGGCGGCAAAAAATAAGAGAACAATAAGATCGAAAAGTTGATCTTCTGACGCAACCGAGGTGCTCAATTGTATTCGCCGGCACGTTCCCTAAGGCTCACACAAAGACACTTTTGGGTGAGAAGTTGGAGTCACATTAACTTATGCCCAAAAAGAGGAATGTGTTTAGCTTAATGTGTTTGATGTAATCTTGTATATTTTCTGTTCTTGAAACCAAGAAATATATAATGTGAATGAAAAGATAAAGAGATTAGAAAATAAAAAAGACAATCTTTAATCATATATTCAGGTATATTAACAACCCCTACAACCTCCCATTAATTGGGAGTTAAGAGGAAGTTACTAGGAGAAGAGGAAGAGAAAGAGTCATTGGTAATTTGACGTATTGGCTCCGACCGGTGGTGCGCCCGGCAGGACGAGCTTCTGCCCGGTAGGGCGAATAAACGATGAAAATCAACTTTACTCTCTCGCCCGGGCACCCGGTTGTATCAAAAAACACTTGTTCTCGCACCCGGTCGAGCAAGCTCCGCCCGATCGGGCGAGAGGTCAGTTATCTTTCCTCTCTTTATTCCAACAATCCCCCACTAAAATGAGGAAAGGAAAACAATAAAAGAACTGAGAATCAACATACGGGCATAAGAGGAGATTTAAGGCATGTTCTCATACGTTTATTTTCAGTTTTGTTCAGTTCAGTTTAGTTCAGCTCAGTTCAGTTCAGTTCAGCTCCTAATTTAATTTCCTTCTCTTATAAAATATTCTATTCAGTTTAGTTAAGCTTAGTTGAGTTCAGTTTAGTTCAGTTCAGTTCAGCTTAGCTGATTTCAGTCTATTAAAACAGGTCTTTAGTACATAACATTTAGATATTACATAAGTAATTTGAAATCTAGTGCTTAGCGAAATGAGGCAATGAACTACAAGTCTAAGGGTTGACAAACATTGAAATCCTTAGGATTCTTCATCAAGGAGTGGATGGACCTTGAAACTCCAAGATTTAGTGCATAACACCCAAAACACATACATCACTCCAAGATTTTATATGAACTCTGCGAAAAGATGCACTTATTTTATAGCCAAGTACATTCACCTTAGGTCTAATGGAAGCTCTAGGAAATCCGCCCAAGTTTTCCATAGAAAATGGCTAATCTTCACAACCACACATGTGAATCACAAGCAATTCTCAAAAGCACTTAGTCAATAGGGTTAAAACGTGTTCCTAAGAACTCAACAAATGCTCATTGTAGCCATTAACCCCCACAATACCATGGATTCATTAAGAGCTTAATGCTCAACCTCACATCAATTATAAACAACGGTGATTCCAATGTTATAGTGCGTCCACTCAAAAATTGGATTCATTAAGAGTCTAAGGACTCAACCTTAAACAACGAATCAATCAAGTGCGTCTCAAATAGTACTAACCTGAATGGTTTATTGTTCCATTAAGAACTCATAAGAGCTCAACCTCAATCAATGCTTTTAATCTTTCCACATGGGCTTAAGGACTATCCCCCTCGACATTTCCATAGGTTTATCAAGGATTGTTACATGTCTCAAATTTCTTTACCGTAGTGCATAATTATTTTTGCTAGAATACTTTTCCAATAAGGAAAACTAGCATGTTACCAACATCAACTTAATTTGCATAAATGGTTAAAAAAACATGTCACATTCACCAATAGATGAATAAAGTAACAAGACAATCCAACACTTGAAATTTCAAAAACTTAATCTAGTCCAATCCTTGAAATAACATAGCCACATTTTAGTGAACTTTCTTCATCAACCATCAATCACCAACACTTGCCTTCTAGAAATTTTTGAACAACTTTTCCTAAAATCTAGTGTATTACTTCACAACCTTCGTACCTAAAAAGATACTTAGTAAAAGATGAAGCAAGTTTAAACAACGATAGCCATTCACTATTAAATTTGTAAAATATTACACTTCAACTATTTCACAAATATATGTTATGTTAAGATAAAATGCAATGCATGTCACTATCACATTGCTAATTGTATTAGCATACTCCACTGAAGACATACTTTAAGACCTCTT